CAGAATAGAACAGAATAGAACAGAATAGAATAGAACTCTTTATTGGCCGAATGTGATTGGACACACAAGGAAATTGGTGCATAAGCTCTCAGTGTACATAAAAGAAAAGTTACATTCGTCACGAATCATAAGGTACAAGACTTAATGACAGTCATGGGGCACTAGATCAGTGATGGCAAACCTTTTGGACACCAAGTGCCCAAACTGTCCGGGCACATCCTGAAACTTAAAGGTGTGCACACATGCATAAATGCATGCACACACGGACATGCATGCATGGACTTGGACCCATGGACATGCATGAACATACGCACACGGACATGCATGTAGGCATGCGTGGGCATACACGTATGTGCAGCAGAGACCCAAAGAGCAGCTGGCCGGCGAGAGGTGGGGCATCTCAACACCAGCAGCGTGGCAAGAGGTAAGATCTTTTTCTTTCGTGAGCTTCTCTTTCGTCATTTGCAGGGAAACAGAAGCTCATGAAAGAAACACCATGGAGATCTGACCTGGGGCAATGGCGCATGTGCGATCAGAGTGGGCTCTGCATCCCACCTCTGGCCCTTGTGCCAAAGGTTTGCCATCACGGATCTAGATAATGACTTGCCCAACTGCATTGCCTGCCTGCCTACCTGTAGTAGCTACACCATCTGAGGCTGTTTCCTCTCTCGGTTGCTTTCTAGGGTCTTCTTGGAATCCAGGACCTGGGCCAGGTGTTTTTTGAACCCATCAAAGACAAGCAAGGGAACATTTTGGTGGTCACCCTAAAAGAAGTAAAGACCAACCAAACCTTTGAAAGCGTTCGCTGGATCCCTCTCTCAAAGCTGCAGAACAGTCGCAAGTCCATCTCTTCCCCCGAAGAACCGACAGCTCTTGACGTCCTCCTCATGACCATGCAGGTAAACTCATGGTGCCTTCTCAGCAGAGAAGACAAAGTTCTCCTTCAATTATGGAGGGGGGGGGAAATCACTTTTAATGTGTTGTTTTTCTCAACCTTGGCAGCTTTTACCCTGTTTTTCCCCAAAATAAGACCTCCCCAGATAATAAGCCCAAACGGACTTTGAGCGCTAAAGTAAGCCCTCCCCTGAAAATAAGCCCTCCCCAAAAATATTGCAACACAACAGCCACCATGAGGTGACCATGCTCGCCGCCTTCTGCACCTCAAAGGTAATCAGACATCACCGAAAACAAGGCCAAGCACTTATTTTTGGGGTCAAAAGAAAATAAGACCCTATCTTATTTTCAGGGAAATACGGTAAGATGGGTGGACTTCATTTCCCAGAATTCCACAGGCAGCAAGGCTGAGGAATTCTGGGACTTGAATGCCACCCATCTTAAATCTATGCCAAGGTTGAGAAATACTGCCTTAAGAGCAGGAGAAATGATTTACAACGTGCAGAAGCCGTCACAGATCCTTAGTGTCCCCAGGCAGGTTATCTCCGTTAGGGTAGATAAGAGGAGACCCCCCTAGCTTGGATTTTGATAACATGCTTGCAGTCTCATTAGAAAACACATCAAATATTTAACATTGTTAAGCTGCCCATAGTTAACCTTGTGCTAAGACGGGCAGCCAATACCGGTATATAATTAAGTCAATAAGTAAATTAGTAAAAATACCAGTGGCCAGCAGAATTCAGTGGTTAATTGGATAGATAGATGATAGATAGATGATAGAGAGATAGAGAGATAGAGAGATAGATAGATAGATAGAAAGAAAGAAAGAAAGAAAGAAAGAAAGAAAGAAAGAAAGAAAGAATTTAATAGCTAACAAATGTAATAAATAAATACATTAGATAAATAAATAAGTAAATAAAATGCCAGTGGCTTGATAGAATTCAATGGCTGGTAAGTACGAAGAATAAATAAATTGGATGGATGGATGGATGGATGGAAGACAGACAGATAGACAGACATAAAATTCCAGTGACTGGACAGAATTCAATGGCTAATAAATTTACTTATTTATTTATCTAATGT